CAGCAGGCAATTCCCTAAGAGTCTCCAGCCCCAAATAAACACCTTCACCTCCCCAGTCAGAAAAAGGGCCACATGCCATGGATTTTTATGGGCCCACAGGGGCCTTCCCTTAACAGAGGTGGAGCCTTTGCTGAGACAATCCTGTTAATCAGAGTACAGTACAGTGGGGATTCAAAGCATTTCAGAAAAAACTGCAGCTGTAATATAAAGTCTTTCTCCTGGGGAAGACATCTGGGCAGTGGGGTTCCTACAAAAGGTAGGCATTGCTCCTGGCTGTGCATGTTACACAGCTGGAGTGAACCAGGCCTGCCAAGAGTTCCCCTATTTCTAAATTATAAGTAGCCCTTGGCTGAAAATTAAGTCCAGAGAGGTTTAATCCAGACCCGTGTTTACCATAAAACATGTGAATAATCCTGAGATTGACATGTACTGTGTTCCCTCTGAAAATGCAAAAAAATCCAAAGCAGGCTGTGTGCTTCAAATGTCCTCAGTGCTAGTGAGGCTCTTCATTTTTTAAGCATCAGAATTTTAACTGAGCTTGCTCTGGTATGGAGCCCCTGACAGTTAATTTTAGGTTGTACTCCTGTGGACAGAAATCTGCCATTCTATTGCAGCATGTGTGCAGGGTAGATATGGGGCATATTATTGCTGTGGCCTGCTGCCATATCATCTTATTATTGTCCCTTGAGAAGGAAACAATGTAGATTTATGTTTTGCTTGAGTTCTTTATTTTGATTGTTTTTTTCCTGCCTGGTTATTTTTAGTGTAAAATTGTTCCAAATTATGTCAAGGACAGGAGAAGTTGAACTTAAACCATGATCCAAAGTGCTGCTGTCTGTGAGGGGTGTTTCTGTGAACAACAAAAGCCAGAAATATGTTCTATTGCACAACTCTAAAGAAATCTGTAGAAAGTGAAGTGCTGCCTCTGTTATCTCCAGACAGTCCCCATTCCAACCCGTCCTGGTGTAAAGAAGCTGGTTGTCTATCTTAGCAGCTGCAGGATCACATTCTCTGACATGAAACGGCCACTTTCAAGAAAAAACACATCTGTGTAAGGACATGAGCTAGCTGGCACAGTCCCTCCCCTTCCACTGCTTTTGAAGAATACACAATATTCAAACCCTGAAATAACTTGCAGGTTTACATCCTCTGCTCAAGACATTTAACATCTCCCTGGGCTATTTGCTTTCAGAGACAGACCCATGGTGTTTCCCAGAAATTAATTAACAAATTCACAGCCTCTTTTGCTGGCTTGGAAAACAGCAATATGGATGAATGCTTCACGGATAAGGTTTTAATGTTGAGTTGTCAGAGGTACAGGTACCTGACAGCTCTTGAAAATTAATTATGGAGCACAGCTTTCCCTGTTCCTGTCTGCCTGCTCCAAAGAGACAACTGTGTTTCCTTCCCTTTAATGAATGTGTGCTGTAATAACAGCTTGCAAATATTTTACCTCTGGAAGCAATTACTGAGTTTGTTTTAAAAGCTGAGCTAACACTGAAGACATGTTTACTCTCCAAGTAGACACCCTGTATTGGAGCCATTACATTTCTTGTTACTATTTTTAAACCAGTGTTGTGAATTCAAGTTGCTTCATCTTCTACAACAAACACCCTAATTTGTTAATAAATTAGCAGAAGGGGAATTGAGGGAGAGGTTTCAAGAGCAAAACAACGTGTTGGGAAATCACCTCAATTTCAAATTCACTTGGAAGTGTGTGATGCTGCCAGACGTGGAAGCCATAATGAGCTGTGTAATGCTTGAAGCCCCTCTGCTCCCCTCCCTCTGAGTGCTTCTCCATTCCCTGGTGCCTGCAGCTCCTGCTCAAGACATTTTACACTTCCTGGGCTCTTTGCTTGTGTCCATCACTTTCTATCTCCTGTGGGAAAACAGTGGCAGCAGCCAGGGGCAAGGCTGGGACAGGTTGGCCTCCACTGGCACTTTCTAAATCTTTCTATAGCACTGTAAACCTTAATCTCAAACAATCTGTACAGATTACGGCCAATCTCCATTAGTCTGCTCTTAGGAGTAGACTCAGACAGGTTTTTTCCTCAATTAATAATTGCCACAGGCTCTTATGTCAGGGATTACTGGCTTAGTGGAGACCACCTCTGGAAGTGACCCCTGGCAGGTGTCTGAGTCACAGACAGAGTCAAATTCAAGGGAAGTTGTTATTTTCTGAATATGAGGGAGTTTAGGAAGATGCAAACTGGACAAGTGAAGTTATTTCCAATTTTTTCTATCTTATTTTTCCTTCCTTTCCTGGGGGGAAGCTTGCTGTCAAAATCCTTCTCTAGCAATTAAGAAATGTAGGCAGAGTATCACACATCTTGTGTCCATGGCTCTCTGCGTAAGAACTAATAACACACCTTTGAGAAGAAAAAGCAGCATTATATCCACAATGGGTGACATTGGATTTTGGGAAGTGGTATCCCATTTCCCCTCAAAAATACTGTGCTACAACATCAGCACGGTGTGGAAGGCATCAGAGCCACTTCCTCTCTGTCACCACCATGGCACATCCAAGGTCAGGTTGAATGGGGCTTTCAGCAGCCTGATGTAGTTCAGGATGTCCCTGCCCATTGCAGGGGCCATGGACTTCACAACTCCCTTACAACCTAAACCCCTTTAAGATTTTATGATGCTGTTTCAACTCAGTACAGCCCTCTACCCCCATCCTTCCTTTGCTCCTTCCTCTTGTACTCCCACTGATCCTTTTTGCTTCATTGCTTGTCTCCTTTTGGCATTTTGGTGAAGAGAGGAAAAAGGACAACAGATGGAAAATGGGATTGCAGCTCCTCCTGTTCCTGGGAGCAGAAAGCCAGTGCAACACAGCCCTGGTTCTGTTTCCTTCCTTCCTTCACAGAGAAGTTTAGGATTCCATCACAAAGTAAAAGTACAAAACTGCCTCATTGTCCTAAAAAGTCATGTAAGAATCTGAAGTAATTGTTTTGCACAATCAAAGTTGATGAGAGGTCTTCCCACCAAATTCACAAGCAGCAGGACCAAGTCTGTACAATTAAAATGGGAGCTCCAACATCAAAGGCAGGAAAAGAAAGGGCACAGCATGAGCTCATGGGATTGTTTACTATGCAACTGCGCTCTCCACATTTTTCAACCTTTTGCTTGGATCTCATTTTCCTTTGAACTCCTGGCAATGTGCATGTTTAGGCCCACTAAAATACATGATGTTTTCTAACAAACTACAATACAGACTAGATCAATTCTTTAATATCATGTTTTCCTCTTGAACACCGTAATGAACCACTTTATGCTTGCTTGGATATAAAATTAACCCAGGCACTTGAGCATTATTTCAGAATGTTCTGCATTCTAAACTGTCTAATTTTGCTGGGAATATGACAGGGTTTTCTCATCCATAAAGGTGAACATAGCCCAGATCTAAACAGAGGGTACACAGCTACTTTACTGTGAAAATACTGGGTGAGGTGGAAGCACACAACATTTTGATGGATATTAAAGAGAGGCCACAATCACAGGCACTTTTGTCCAGGGAAATGAAGAACATGGAGTATGCTGGTGAATCTGAATAAATAATTTCTTAAGGAAAAGCAGCTCAAGAAAATATTTTAAAGATCTGAAAATCCCAGCAACAAGACCACCACTGACAATGTGAACCATTTGCAGTTACTGCTCCAGCTACTCTCTGCCAGTGACTGTCTGTTATGGGCAAGTGTTTTCCTTGAGCACAGGAATAGTGTATGGTAACAGTCAGAGACCTCTTCTATTCTGTAAAAAAAGATCTCAAAATTATTGGGAAGTTTGTGATATCACAAGGTCCTTGTGATACTGGGAGACAGACCTTTATGTAATTTACAGGAAATGCTTTTAGCAATTTTATGACTACAATTTCTATAAATATCTGTTGTAGAAAAAACACAAGGACAAAGGAAGCTTTCTCAGAAAAACAATAAACTATCATAGGCTGACTACACTTTGCAAAAACTATACTCAGAAGTTTTGGTTTATATTTTGAAGAAGTAACCTGCAGCCTTCTGATCCTCCTGAGCAAAACTCTGTTTTTCTAAAATATGCCTATTGCTGGATTCCTCTGCTTCCATTAAATCCTTTTGATTCTCTTCCTGGGCTGGACTAGTACTGTTTTCTTGTACTTCTTGGAATAATGTTTGATCCTGGGCAGAACTGTGGCCTGTGTTGTTTCCCATGTTTGGGACTTTTGGGAGCAGGTTTTTGGGGACAGGTATTTCACAATGCTTAATGCAGCTACAGCCTTTTTCCAACACCCAAATAAACCATAAAAGTGCTCTCAGCTTTTCTACAATATTTCTGGAGGGCCCTGGATGGCAGCCATAAGGGCTGGCTTTATTATCTGTGAAAGACTGTTGTGAAGATTGGTTTGAGCCTCAGCCCAGACACCTGAGAAAATTTCCTTTCCCATCACACTTATGAATCACTGTGTTAAATATGACAGCAACATGTTAAGGGTGGAGAAGATAAAAAAATAGCATGTAATGACCAGGAGCACTTCTCTCAAAGTTAAGCAATAAACAAAGTAAAACGATTTGAAGCTTCCTTCTGTAATTTCAAGGTTTGTGTCTCCAGTACTAACACCCCATGGGGCAGACCCTGAGCCCTGTCTCTCCTCCCAGGATAGAAAAAGCTGATGACTCAATTCTGAACAACCCTTCAGCCAACCCGAGCTCCTTCTCTCTTCTGGCTCCTCTAGTAAGCAGCCCCCTTTTGGCCATTATTCCTCTTCAATCATTTCCACCTCAAGACCCAATCTCCCCCTAAGACCCTCCTTACTGTGATTCCTTCTCTCTCTTGTTTAATATGTACATTCATGCCCTAAAGCTAAAAGCTGTGAAAGATCAGACCAGTCACTCCAGGCCTGTTTTGGCTGGATGAATTGGCTCAGGTTTTTCTTGTGTTATAGTAATTGCGTAATTCCTCCCCTTTCTCATGTCTTTTTATTTTTTTAACAGAAATTTTCGAAATATTAATAACTTAATGAAAATCCAACATCTTCCAGATGGCTTCCTCAAACACAAGAATTAATCCATTTCCCTAGGTGAAAGGCTTTGGTCTCCAAGGCTCAGCTCAGACCTATCTGATACAACGCTCTTGTGTGAGGTAAGTTTCCTCTCCAACACTTGTGCTCATTTCCTGGAGAAGGCCTTTGTTTCCCTGCTCTGTGTTTGCTGTGTGGGCTACAACTCCTTATCAGCCTTTTCCTCCCTCTGACCTCCTGTCTTTTCAGCTTCTCTGGTTTGCATCTGTGCCTGGAGCTCCTTTGCCTTCCCAGATCACAGAATTTCTATTCTCCTGCTCTGGGATTGCCCCACTGCTCCTTGGCTCAAGCTGTGCTCCCATGTGCAGACTGTCTGAAATTGGGACTAGAGATTACTTTATGAAAACCAGGTGACTTATAAAATTAGACAGTCAAAAATACAGGCAGTTATAACACATTTGTGACTGTTACAACCTCACTGGGGAAATGACTTGAGTGGGTTTTTAAGGCAGCAGGCAAATAGCTAGTGCTTCAAAGACAAGTATCATCCTGAAACTTATTACAAAAATTAATCAGCATTTCCTACAAATGGCAAGATGCACAGAATAGACCTCTGGATTAGATACCAACTCTTTTGTAAATGGTTTTACAGAAAAAAATAAAAATGGATACTCAATTTAAACAAAAATTAGTAGTGTATGTGGAGGTGAGAAGGACAAGGAGAAAAATGGTATGGGCAAAGGGAGATTAGGTTGTTGAAAAATCCCCAAATAAACGTGAAAGGTGACAGAGCAGAGCAATAGGAGACCGAGGACTACACAGGACAGTGCTATTGCTCTGACAAAAATAAGTAGAAGGAATAAAAATCTCTTTTTCTAAGAAAATAAGTCACCATGTAAAAATGACATAATGGCTCTTGTTTTTTTTTTTCTCCCTCCCTCCCTGCAAATGCAGTCTAGGAGAATGTGATTACATCACATGCATCACATTTTCTGATGGAAGTTACAATGCTGTTACAAGATACTGCCATGACACTCATCCCACTATAACTTTCTTCAAGGACCTCATAGAGCAAAACTCCAGAGTGTAGTAAATTAGGCATATTTTGTGTCTCTTTCTTGTCTTTGATAGGGGTGAAATTCAATCCTGTGCATATTTTATATGGCTCATAATAACACCCACTCATTCATTGCAGAAGAGGCATTCTATTGTCCTCCTGTGACACTTCCTTGGGATTGCAAGTGGAAGATGTGTCACTGGGACTTCCCTTTGTTCCCCTGCTCTGAGCTAGACACTTGTGGCAGGTGCTGTGCCTCACAGAAACAGATACTGTAGGTCACAGCTTGCACAAGTGGAGACAATTTAAGTGTCTGGCTTGGGTTTGGCATCTATCACTGCTGCTCGAGCACAGGGGTTAATCAGCAGCTGTCAAACAGCCCTGTTCCAGCACTCCTTGGCTGGGTGGTAACTCAAAGCTGTGGGATGACAGCCAAAGCTGAGAGAAGATTTCAGTTCTTGATTTCAGCCTTGTTTTTCCCTTTTATTTTTCCTTTTAGAGCAGGAGAGAGTTGCAGTCGTTACTGCAGGCCTGTGCCTCTACCTGCCCCTTTAAGGATGCCCTTCTGGCAATCTGAAGACTGTCCTTCCTGGGAAAAAGAAACAGGAGGAAAGTGGAACTGTGATAACCCATTAATAAATCCAGTCTGATGAGAAGCAGCTGAGGGAGCTTGGGGTGTTGAGCCTGGAAAGAGGGAGGCTCAGGGGGGACCTTCTCACTCTCTACATCTCCCTGACAGGAGGTTGGAGCCAGGTGGGGGGTGCTTTGTCCTCTCAAGTAGAAAGTGACAGGACTAAAGGAAATGGCCTCAGGTTGCACTGGGGAGGTTTAGATTGGATATTATGAAAAAAAATTCTTCCTAGAAAGGTTGTCAAGCATTGGAACAGGCTGCCCAGGGGAGGGGTTGTGTCACCATCCCTGGGGATATTTAAAAGATGAGTGAGTGTGCCCCTTGCAGACATGGCTTAGTGATTGTGTGAACTTGGCAGTGCTGGGTGAAGGATTGGACTCGCTGATCTCAGAGGTCTTTTCCAACCTAAATAATTCCATCCTTCCATGCTATAACTTCAGACTGCAGACTGCCCAGCTCGTTGAGATCTTTACCATGACTGCTGTCACCAGGACTCAGATTTGGCACTGCTAAGCTTGCTCTGGCACCTGTGTGCTGTGTTAGAGTTACTCCTGCATGTTTGGACATCAAAGGCTAAATGGGAATAGTGAAAGCCATGCTGTACATTGTAGCAGCCTATGAGGGTACACAGATGCCTGTGCCCTTTGTTTTTCATGGACTGGTAAGAACTTGACCCATGTGCCAAGTACTTGTAAAAGATGAATAAAGAGCTCTATACATACAGCACACACAAACACCCCCAAACATACATTCTATATGTGTGTATGTTGATACATGAACTTAAGGAACAATGTAAACCAAGGCCTTTTTCCTGCTACTAAAGCAAATCATTGAATAATAATCCATTACATAAAAGGAACAAGCTTAATCTTGAGAACCATTAATGTCACTTTTCTCCAAACTCCTCCATGAATGTTGTTCCAGGATATCATGGCAGTGCTCTGCCATAATGTATCTTTCCAATTTCCAGTTTAAGCACATCCACCACCATTTTGTGCCTATTGATGCTGAGCAGTGCTGCTTGTAAGCTTTAGTCATGAGCTAAATATAACTGTGGATTGTCTGTACTGCACTGCTGATTTTGTTTGAAAGGAAGACAGAGATTTAGCAGAACCTAAAGTCAAAACTAACACAGAGATGTGCAAAAGGAATTTGTATGATGGCATTTGCTTTATCCAAATTCAGTCATCAAGTCTAAGGTGGTTGTGTGTTTTCCCTTCACAGCTATCAGAAAGCTGCTGGCACATCTCCAGGGTTTTTATCACTCAGGCACTTATTTGAGGATATGATGAACTGTTTCCCATCAGTGCCTGCTTCTTCTTTTCCACAGATTGTCAGGTGAATCTGCATCAGCAGAGTAGCTGAAGCATGCACCTAAAAGCAGATGAAATGAGCCTCTCCTCACTGTTTATGTTAAAATCCAAAAGAATATTCCAGTCAATGGCACTTGGATTTTTCGCTCATTGAGAAGAAAAGGGTTCACAGAGAAGTCACCTGGGATGTCAGAGAACTGTTTTAAAAAAACTAAACTCTCTAAATCTGGTCTTTATCAACATGTCATGAGACAAAAAATAAACACTGAAAGAAAAACATGGAATGTTTAAACCATTTTTCTTTCCCCAGAAGCAAGTGGCTTTTAGAATATTCATTGCACAAATTGCTTTAATTACAAATTGGAACAAGAATAAGTTTTGGAATTCTGATTTCACATGACAGAGCTCTGATTCTATGGTGAAAAAATTGCAGAAACAGGAAATTTCCTTCCTTCAATGATGTGTTGCTCTCTGCCCTTACATCGGACCAATTCTATCTTCTAGAAGCTTACTGAAAAAGTATGATCTTTCAGCAGACTAGTGTGTTTAAACAGAACTATTGCTCTCCCTCTTGTTGGTGACAAAAGGTAGTGAGTGGAGACTGGGAGTTCCTGCATACAGCAGGAGCTCTGGAATAACTATTAACATGGATTTCTGAAAAAGAAGGAATTTGATGTGAAGGGCCAAAGCATAAGGACAAATTAGATAGAAGAAGATATCCTGATTTTCCAGTCTGGGCTGGAAATAACACAGATGTAGAAGTGAAAAAGAATAGGAAACATCGCATCTGTAAACTATTCTCTCAGTGTGTGTTTTTGGGAGAGTGTCAGCTAAAGAATTCAACTTCTGGTAGGATAAGTATGAGTTACCCATGCCCAAATTTGTGGGTAATCAACTCACAAATCTGCTGATGAGTTAGTTAAATGTTGCTTCCTTAGAAAAAACACTCAGGTTTGCAAATAAATACCTTTGATGATACACTTTTGCAACTCAGGGACGTGCTGGAACACATTCCCCTTCTCTGTCACACATTCCCCTCTGCACCTTCTGATGGGCATATGCAAGTCCAAAAATGAAACAAACTATTCTGTATTAATTTCTTTGTGGTGTTTCCCTCTGCAAACAAAAAACTTGTAGTTCTTTGCACATTTATCAGGAGAAGTAGCAATAATATCAATTCACCATCCCACTTAGAATGGGAATTCAGAAATATTTTGTCAGGCCAAAAATCCAATCCTCTGTTTGTGTCTCTAACTTCATTGGCTCTGAAAGCAGAACAGGAGCTACTTTTCCTCCTTCAGGCTGAGATTTTGGTAACAGTTAAAGTGGGAATACAAAGTCAAAATTTACACTTGTAGCCAATGACTGAAACAGAAAACTCATATTCTGCTGCATTTGTGGGAGGGAATACACTGTGGCAAATTGAATAATCCCCAATACTTTAACTTCTTAGGAGGGAAAATGTAAGGCAGTCAGGTGCTTCTGAAGTGCTCACTCTGTTGTTTGGCTCAGTTTGTTGCCTCTCTAGAAAACCTGAAGTGTATTCTTGGCAGCAGGCATCAGTGCCCGAGGGATAGGATATACAAGCCTGCAGGAATGTAGATAAACATCTAAGTTCTTACTCTGCATAACAACAACAAAAAATAATCAGTGAAAGCCTTCAAAGTGCTGCCAAGAGGCCCTTCTTCATAGCCACAAGTACCTTACTAAGAGGAGAGCTTATACTTCTAATTGAAAATATTTCATATTTAATGGATCCAATCATAATTCTGACTTTTTTTGACATTAAAAAAAAAATCAATAGGATTTTATTTTTCTGGGGTCAAGCAGGGAGAAATGTATGTTCTTTCTAGTACTGGGCAATATTTTCCTTGTAGTAATGTCTAATGGTTTTATCAGTTGTTACTTACATAATAATTACTGTTACTTTTCAGAACCAAAAATGCAGAAAAGATTATTTTGTATAATTTAGTAGCTTGCTGAGAATAATTATACACTTCACAGAAGCATCTACTGACTAGAAGTACATAGAGTTCAGTTGGTATAACTGAAGGTGATGGTGTGTAATTGTCAGGGGAAATAGTTTTATTATAGAATTTTCTAACAGTGGTTATTTGGTCAACTCTGGCAATTCCACAGATGTACAGAATGACTGCCCTTTGGGAGTGCTATTTATAAACTCAAAAACATCTGAACAGTACTCACAAAAAGGCTGCTAGTATCAAGAAAATTAATGACAATCTGACATTGTTGAAGGATGAAGAGAGAAGAGGCTTTGTGCTGAGCTTCAGGCATGAAGTGTGTTTGCACTGCTCTCTGTGGAAGTCTGGAGTATTGATGGGAGCACCCTGCTCATGGCATTGTCAGCCTCAGCAAATCAATACAGGAAAATGTAAACTTACAGGTAACCTCACATCCCTTTCTCCTAAAGGCTCCCCAGAGAAAAAGATATTCTTGCGTCCTGGAGCCTTCAGGGTGTGTCTTTACTTTACTTCCATTAAAAAATAATCCACAACAAAACCGCAAAACCCACCCCCCAAGACAAACCCAAAATAGTTCCCTAAGTGCTAGTAGTTTGTGCAGTTTCTGCACCTAATCCACCTTTTGGTAACAGACTGGTTTTATTTGGAATTTTAAGAATTCCAGTCAGACATAGTTCAACTACAGGTTCACACTGCTGTAAAGACTAACAATGCCCTGCTTTAACTTTTCCTGCCGGATGTCGAAACTGAACTTACTGAGCACAACCATCAGATGAGCACCAGAACCAGCACAGGAGTGAGAGAGACAGAAAGAGAAGTTCAGTGTCAAAGACTGACACATTCTAGTTGCTGTGTCAGTGCCTCAGCTGGTGTTGGCAACCACAGCACAGCTTCCAGCACAAAGGGCCTGCACAGGTATCAGTGACTGTCTTTGAATAAAAAAGCACTTTCAGTTGATACCATCATCCTGCCTGTGGCACAGAAATGCAGGCACATATATAACGTGTGCACTTACTGTGATACAAGTAATATGTATCAAATGTTTTAATAAAACTCACTGACTTTTGAGCAAACTTTTTATCTTCTGATCACTTCAAGTTGGGCTACATTGCTGTTACTGATGGAGTGAGGGGAAAATTACATTTCTAATGCTGTATGTTTTGTGTGAAGTCATCTCTGTAGAAAAAAAGGCTTTGTATACTGCTCACAGAGCAAGTGTGAGAACTCTTACAACAACAACAAGCAGCTTCCAGTTGCTTTTATTTTGGAAAGACAAAATGGCTGAAGGCCACAGCTGTTAATTTATTCAGATGCCGAAGGAAACCATTAGCCCATTGGACCCTGAAGATGAGATTCCTTTGTGCTAAATGTTAATATAAGGAAATCCCAAACAGGGGCTGCCAAAGCGACATAATACAAATGCAAAATGCCAAATGTACCTACAAAGGAAGGAGGTAGATGGTTGTTTATTAGAGAAGAGAAAAAAAAAATCCAGTGAAAAGCAGAGTTTACTTTTTTCTCCTTTTTTTAAATACAGTGTGATTTACAAACTGTGATATGAAAACTCTACTGTGTTCAAATCAAACAGAATGTCTTTGAAACACACAGGTGCACATATGGTTGTACTGTTAATGACTGCATGTCCACGTGAACTGGTTTTTATCAGCATAATGCAGATGGAGCTGCTCCACACACTCCCTGCTGTTTGCAGCGTTGTTTTAATTAGTTGTAATAGCCCAGTATAAATGAATTGCATCCTCAGAAGAAAGGTCAAAGAAAAAATATAATAGCTGTCATCAGGGTAGGCAACTCCTCTTTCAGATTGCTGCTGTAATGGCCTCATGGCAGAAACATGATTAATCATTGCCTGTTCTTAGCCTGAATTTCACAAATATCTCCCTCTCCTCCAGCTCTTTTCTTTCAAGATTCAACAGTTGCAAGTATTTTATTTCATACCTGTGCAGGAGTGACATTTCCAATACTTCATTCAGAATTTAAAAATATTTAGTACAGGACAAGCTGTCATACAACAATGTTTGAATCACCATGGGTCCTGTTTGAAGAATATATTTTTATGTCATAATGACACCACAGAATTGAAACTTATCCTGGCTCCCTGTCTTGTTCTCAGCCCAGTGAAATAGAACTTTTGGCATGTGGCAAAGAAATGACATGAGGAAAAGGAACAGTACGCATTAGTCAAGGCTGATTATAGCAAAGAGAACGTGATTGACTGAGGAGGTTGATAATAGTGGAGGAAATAGACAAAGAACTGTTTAAACAAAGGACAGGGGAATTTGTTTCCACTGGCTGACTTTCCTCTACTTTTCCAATTAAGATTTTAACCAATACAAACCCAACCATGTTTGTGGTGTTGTCACAACAGTTTCCAGTTAAATCAAATCAGGATAAACTTCCAGTGTCCATATAATTTCCCTCATTTTGGTTGCTTGCTTGCCAAATGAGTCAGAATACAAAATAGGGTTGGTATACAAAGTCATTTGCAGTTATTTGCAGACCACTTCTTATAGAGGTCTTACAGATCAGCATTGACCCAGATTCCATGGTTTGAAAAATATGGCACTAGGACTTGATTATTTCAGCAGCCTGAAAAATAGCTCCACAAATTCCTTAGCATCACTAGCTGTATTCTGGTGATCCTTGCTGTGTCCAGCTGGTGACAGTTTTTCACCATGCTTTAGCAATCATCTGCAAGGCAGACTCTGACCAGTTGCTCTTGGCCTGGCTGGAGGGAGCTGTGCTGTACCCAAAGGGTCCAGCCCGTGACCCTGTGTAGCTGCTAAGATGTCCCTAATGGAGTAGGAAGAACAGGAAAAACAAAGTTAGCTTTGCTTCTTTGAATAAGGATAGAATCTGAGAATCATTAAAGTTGGTAAAGTCCCCCAAGATCATTGAGTCCAAACTTAGATTGGGCAACACCATGTCAGGTAAACTAAAGCACTGAGTGCCACATCCAGTCTTCCTTGAGGAGTTCCAGGGATGGTGACTCCACAACCTCCCTGTGGCTCCTTCCAGTGCCTGACAACCCTTTTACTGATGAAATTCTTCCTGATGCCAATCTGAACATCCCCTGGCACAGCTTGAGGCCATTTCCATTTGTTTTGTCCATCCCCCACCTGACAACTCCTGTCAGGGGTTGTGCAGAGGCAGAAGGTCCCCCCTGAACCTCCTTTTCTCCAGGCTGAGCCCCCCCAACACCCCCAACCGCCCCCCCCCAAAACCGGGCCCCAAAACCCTCCCCAACCCCCGTCCCCTCCCCGGACAAGCCCCAAGGAAACAACCCCAAAAAAAGGAAAAAAAAAAAATAGGTTCAATATTAGTATGCAAGCTTCTTTTCCCCCTTGCTTGAAAATCTGCATTTTGATACCATTTTTAATTACAAAAAAAACCTTCACTGTGGTTTTATATTTTCTGCCTTATTTTTCTTAATAAGAGTCCTGCCTCTTTCTGTGGAATAAACTGATTCACTCTTCACTGATTATGCAGTAAAAGGAAAAGTACTTTGTGCATTGAATGAATGCTTTCCCAATTTGTATGTTTTTAAATGAAATATATCTGCTACTGCTTCAAACCAGCAGAGGGAGTTTGCTCCTCCAAATAATTTTCAAACTTCTCAACACAATCCCATTTTTTCAGTACTGTTGTTACCTGGCAAGAACTGCTGCTGAAAAGAAAAGGTGAAATTTTACCATCCAGAGTGTTTAATTCCTTAGTGCTAGAGGCTGCTTGCTTCTAGTCAATTTTTATTAATAGAATTTTGCAAGAAGTTGCTGCAATGAAAAATGCATTAGAGAACTAAAAAAAAAGAAAAATCAACCCAGCTGGAATGTCTGGGAGCAAACTATTTGGTTAAAGCGGAATGTACAATTATTGTAGTGCATGTGCCACTCAAAAGTGCATGAAACCACTGTGTGGTAACAGCTGACACACTTTTTTTTTTTTTGGGGAGGGGGGGGAAGTCAGTTCCTTTATTTTTTGCACTCTAGAGAGAAGCTTTCCAAGTTCCTGGTTTTGGTTTCTTTATTTGGAAATACTGGAGTAATTTTAAGATGACCACAGTGGCAAAAAAGGTCAAGTGAAATGTTCACTAGGGAGTGAACAGTACTAGGGGAAGAATCTCATTATAACTAGGTATTTGTTTTTGTTTTTATTTTTTTTTTATTTTATTTTTATTTTTATTTTTATGGAAGAAAAGAAATCAGCTCTAGTGGTGACAAATTGTATCATTCTTATCTTGTGTTATAAACCTGCATAGCAGGAACTATACAATGATCTCTCTTGTAAAATCTGTATCAGTTACTGATGTTAACAGTGGATATTATCTTGATCTGCAACAATGTCACAACTCTTCCTCTCTCAAAAGCAAGGTAGAAATTCAGATATTCCATTAAGCTCAATCATAAAACAGTTAAAATGTTAATCTTTCATTTTAAAAAGTTTCCTTGAACAAATTTGTGCGACAATTGTGTTATTTTTGGGAACTTAATTGGATTTGAAAATACTCTGAAATAAATATGACCTTTTATAATTCCATAGAGTCAGAATATCAATTCTCTATGCCTGGAACTGAAAGGAAGGTCAGAATAAAAAGCAAGAGCCAGTGTTCCCTGTATATCTGTCAAAATATGAGTAAAAATATTTCTAAAGGACTGCAAATTATTGACTAATATTCAAGGGAAAATGGCTCATTACAATTTTCTGCTTTTACTGAAGGGGAAAATGAGGAAGGAACTCATTTAAGGTGATGTAGAAGGCAATTTTTGGTAAATAAGCATTTAGCACATACCAGACATAGAGCATAGAGAAAAGAAATGAAGTAGTCACGTGATTTAACAGTTGAGTGAAAATAGTCAATAGCCTGGCACAGATGTATCTTCTTTACATGTATTACAATTGTCAAACCATATGAGAATGCTAAATACAGGTCCTCATGCTGCTCTCAGTCACACATGAGCAGATCTTGCACTTTTGCAAACCTTAGTGCCCGTGAAGTCTTGTCAAAACTCAGCAAAGCGTGGGGCAGACACAGCTGCCAGTGCCACACAGCTCACAGGGCACAGCCCAGCTCTAGACACAAAACTGCTCAGGCTGCAGGGGATGGGTTCAGCAGCATTGCAGGCACTCACCCACAGAGAAAGAGACTTGGGCTCATCAGCCACGGGGCTCCCTCAGGAGCCATCCCATTTCCGCCTCACTGGTACTGGAAAGAGGATGGAGGCTGAAGCACAGGACCAGCAGATGCTGGTGCATTATCATAGGAGCAGATGGACCTGGAATAAAACTCAGGTTTTGTACTCAGGCTGCTAAAAGCTTTATGCTAGTCCATAACTTCTTAAAGAGTTATCAAGGCATGTTGAAATAAAACACAATTTCACAAAGACTGTATCTTACCTTATCTTACGTCCACAGCGTAAGAACCAAGAACCAGGGCTTTGCTCTCCAGCCTGTTCTAGGCTGAACGGAACATGAACATGAACATGAACATGAACGTGAACATGAACATGAACGTGAACATGAACATGAACATGAACATGAACATGAACATGAATATGAACTGGAACTAGATTTGTGCAGAGTTTAGCTTTGTGGCAGAGTTTAAAAAAGTAAAAACTGCTACCTCAGAAAAAATTTATAATTCCTGTTATCCTTTATTCTTTTTTTTCAGCATGTAGCTTTGATAGTAAAAGGGTTTTAAAATCATGGGGATTTAGGGTTAACAGGAAGGCGAGCTTGGTAGGCCCTGGAAAGATGGGTGCCTTGGGTACATGGGGAGCTAGTGCTTGCTGGAGCTGCGCTGTGTGGCTGGTACAGGATGAATGATGTGGTTGTTGGATGTGATGATTGTTTAGTAGTTAGATATAATTACTGTTTGATCATGAGAGTAATCATGAGAGGCTGTGGTCGGGGACCTGGGGGAGATCACAGGAAACTCATGTCGATGTGTGCAGTGGGACAATGTAAGTTTCATGGTTAGTGTGTAAGTTATATAACGATAGAATATGGAGTGCGTTCAGCTCGGGGGCCATGTCAGAGTCAGAGTTGGGTTTGTACCCCGACTCCCAGAGCTCTTAATAAAAGCACCTGCATATAATCATATCCCGTGATTACGTGTGTTTCTGAACGCTAACAGCTTGACAAGGGAAGTGGAAAAAAGTGATACATTAGACAGATGAGGATAATTCATTCTCATGGAAGTTACTTTCTGAATTTTTATTGGAAGAGATTTCAAACACTAAGGCTGATGTTTCCTTTCTGTCCCAAACCTTCTCTTCTTATTAAGTACTATAAACCAGTGCAGGAGGGTTGTATTTTATAAAAAATAAATTCTCCTTTTAAGGGTAGCACCATGGGGCCATTTATCAGCAAAACACTGTACCTGCTTCACGGAAATTCTGACTATGACTTGTACATTCTCAGTTCTGCAGTTGAAAAAAATGGAAGCACCTGCCCCAAATTATGGTGAAGCAGATAAAATACGATAATAAAATATGATAGATAGTTGTTTATACACTCAGATTTCATGTTTTGTCTTTAGTGCTCATGATCTGACTCAATTTCCCTTTCTGTGCCATGAGAAAGATGCTAAGCAAAAGCTGACTCCTGGAAATACTTGACATTCTTTTCAGGCTAATTTTGTCCTGAGCTTGGCTGAAACAGCTCATTTGGAACCACTCATAAAAGGATGTCTGCAGCAAAGAAGAGGGAGTATTTTCACTTCAGAGAGCCCTGCTGTGTTATATTCCCTGATTTTCATCAAAACCAGACCATGTTTACATGTCCTTTTGGCCTCAGGGTCAGAGTTTTTTCTTTAAATTGCTTCAGTTCTAAGTAGTTGTTTCACTCATTCCTGAGTTTCCCACAAAAACCTAAACAGTGGCAGCCTGATATAGCTTGGAGCACCTTCCTACATGCATCTGAAATAAAAAAACCACACCCAACAAAAAAGACCCTCACCCTATAAACTCTTCAAAAGCAGTGCACAAGCCCACAAACACGTGCATGATGTTAATTATATTGGCCAAAGGGAGGGTTGGTTAGTTTGGAAAAGTCCTCTCAGATCATCCAGTCCAACCTGTGACCAGGCAGCACCATGTCAGCTGGCACTAAGTGCCACATCCAGTCTTTGCTGAACATCCCTCCAGGGATGAAACTCCACTGTCTCTGAGCTGCCCATTCCAGCTGTGAGAGGCTCCATCAACCTGATCCCCCTCAGCGCCCTCAGCCTTTCCTTGTAAGATCTATGTGCCAGACCCAGAGGAAAACTTTGTGCAGGAAGCAGGGCAGGGATGTGGGGTGGCCCCAGCAGTGAAGGGAGTGGTGAAGGGGTCGGTGCTGTTCATGAGTCCTTGAGGCCAAAAAGGCAAAAGGATCCTGTGTGCATTAGGAAGAACACTGCCAGTACATTGGAGGTGATCCAGCACCTCTGCTCAGCCCTGCTGAGGCGTATCTGAAGTGTTGTGTCCTGTTCTGGGCTCTGTGAGAGACACAGAGCTCCTGAAGTGAGTCTAGTGGACACTATGGAGAAGATGAGTGGAACATCTTTCTTACAAGGAAAGGCTGAGGGAGCTGAGGCTGTTCAGCCTCCAGAGGAACCCTCAGCCCTGGGTGTCCCTGTGAGCAGGGAGGGTCAGAGCAGGGCCCAGGCTCTGCTCTGGGACCAGCAATGGCACCAGAGGAACGAGCAAGGACTGATCCCAGTGAGCTCCACCTGGACATGAAGAACTTATTTCCTGTACAGTGACCAACCACTGAACAGATTGTCCAGAGAGGCTGTGGAGTCTCCCTCTCTGGAGATATTTCAAAAATGCCTGGACACCATCCCATGTGCCTTGGGTAATTCTGCTTGATCAGGGAGGTGGAACCACTGTGGTCCCTTCCAACCTGACCTATCCTGTGATTGTGCGAAAGGAGCCATGAGAGATGTGAAGGGGGCGATGAGGGGAGTGACGAGGAGGCTGATGAAGGGGCTGTGAGGGGAGGTGAGTGGGTTATGAGAGCTGTGAGAAAGCTGATTGGGGAGTGATGAAAGAGCTGTGAGGGAGCTATGAGGAGGGGTTTGATGACGGCGGTGAGGCGAGCAGCGCTTGCTGAGGCGCCTAAGGGCGGGGGGGTCTAACGGGGCAGGGGGCGGAGCCTGGCGGTGACGTCACCCCCGCCTGGCAACGGCGTGGGGGCGGTGGCGGCGCGCGGCTCTCGCGGGACTTGGCGCCCCCCGCCGTGGGAGGGGCGGAGCCGCCGGTGCCCGAGCTCGGCTGAGGCGGCGGCGGCAGCGACGGGACGGGACGGGACGGGCGAGCGGCGCCTCTGCCCCGGGCCGCCCGCGGCTCGGAGCCGCCACTTCCACGCCCCTAACGTCACGGATGGAGCCGCAGTGCCCGGCTTGAGCGCGTCGGCGGGACCCGGAGCCGCTCCGCCGAGCCTGGGCGGGCGGTCGCAGCATGGGTGAGCGCGGTGGGGAGAGCGGCGGGACCGGCCGCCTCTGTCCGCTTCTACAGGGCGCTTCGCCGCCCTTTGTCTGAGGGGAGGGCGCGGGGCCCGGGGCAGCCCCCGAGGAGGCGGGAGCGGTGTTGGCAGCCGGGGAAGGCGCTGCCGGCAGGTGCTCGGGGAGCGGGGAGCGCTCCCTCCTGCGAGGGGCCGCGGCCGCTCCGTCCCCCCGGGCGGTCCCGGGGGCTGCGGAGGGGCCCGGGCTGGGAGGAGGCGCGGGGGGTTCCGTGGGGCTCGGTGGGGACAGCGAGCTGTACAGCAATGCCTGGTGCTGCTCGGAGGGAGTAGCTTGCTGAAGCATAAAAGTTTTTACGGTTAAATCCAGCCTTTTCCCCCTTTTTTTTTTTTTTTTTTTTCCACTCGGCGTCAGTTTGAGCTGCGCCTTCGCCCATTTCTCCACCAAGGCGGAAGCACTCACTTTATTTTAAAGAGAACGAGTGTAGAACCACTGGGAGTGTTCCTGTGTTCAGGATGTTCCAGCTCAGGTTCATACTGGAAACAGTCAATTGTGATGGGTCTGGTTTTTAATGTAAGCTTTCGCACAAGGAAGTCTCAACGAGTGAACTTGAAACACCACACTTAAGTGCTCTCTTTGCTGATAGCGACTTCCCCTTGATAGAGACATTGGACCTCACTGGGGTCCAAAACGGTGCGCGGATCATTTTGTCTGTCTCTCATACCTCCACCCTGCTCTGCTGTGCTGTGCAGCACCGGTGTACTCGTGGAGGGTGTGTGCTGGGCGCGGGTGGCAGTGGCTTCAGTGTCCTGTGTGCTTGTGCTGCTCTCTGCAAACATGCTCCATCAGAACAGGAGCAAAACTTTTTAAGTGGAAGGATACCTGGGTTTTGGATAGCTTCTCTGCCTCCCCGTTGTGCATAAAAATGAAGAAGTGCACGGAGTGCAGATCAAACATGCAGTTAGTGAAGCGAGAACGCTCCTCCTGGCTGGTGTTGTGCTGATCATCAAGATCTGCTTTCAGTGTGTTCATCTCAGTGGAATTTGTCTTACGGGTTCCAAAGCACACTTAAAATGAAATCTGAAAATATAAATGAAATTGGTGATTTAAATTCTGGTAGAAAACAAACATCTCACTTTTAGGTGCTGTTCGTGGTTATTTGGAATAGGTAAGACTTGCTCTTAATTTCTTTTTGGGCTGCATTGTAGTATTTGCGAGTGAGAAATGTCTGCCCAGGTCATTGTAGTGGCCTGTGATGGTAGTTCTTAAAGCATAAAGGCTTAGTGTGCTAATTAAACATATTGAACTCAGGCTGTAATGCTGAAATGAGAACTACCCCAGAATTGACCTATGGTAGGTTTGGGCTATTAAAATCCTTAGTCTACTCAATTAGTATAGTTAGAAATACTTTATAGCGACTGAGTCCAGTTCATGATTAAATACGGTTATTCTATGACATGGTTTTATATATTTTTATTCTTAAGTTTACTTTTCTAAAGGAAATCTTCTGCTGATGACCATAATGAGCATGTTGTTACTGTTGTAGATATGACTGAAATGAGTGGGTGCACATACTGTATTGAGTATTGCTGTTGTGTGGGTTATTTATTACCATAACAATTTGTGTGTATGTGCAGTTACAGAGCAGTTCCTGCAAGGATAGTGGCCAGGCTCTAGAAAGGATTGTATAATAATCCTATAGCCTTTTAAACAGATTTTCTCTGAAAGTGTTGTTCTTTATTCAGATTTCCAAGTATTTCTTGATTGTGGCCAAAAGGGGCAAGGAATATACAATAAAGCATCACTAAAAATAAGAGTGGAAAAAGAAGCAACTGTAGCTTGCTCTGCACTCACTGCAATTAGTAGTTGCCTCACTATTTACCTTGAGAAGTCATTAGTTGATTATTTTATTACTGGTGTCATGGTAGAGCTGGTTCTTCATAAGTGATTGTCTTTTATGTCAGCTTGTGGAAGGGATTTTACATGTAAGAGGCAGCTTAGAGGGGAGTGTTGAGGTATCTTTTATGGACTCAAGGATTTTTGAGATTTATAGAGAAGTAAGAACAGTCAGTATGACTCTGGAGGAACCAAAAGGAGAAGGTCAGAAGTACAGAGTGCCTTGGAAACAAGTTCTTTCATGTTCTTCTGGTGGCTGGAAATTAATGTTTCAAGAGCACGTGTCATTCAGGCATCTGAAGGAAGGGGAGGGGGATGTGATCAGAGGTGAAACACACAAGAGCATATAAAGTTATGGGTAATGTCCACTGTAACTTTCATTAGAATTCAACCCTGTCATTATAATTCTCTACCTTCTCTGCACTAGATTAATTGTGTGTGTATGACTCCAGAAACAGCTTGATAAACAGATTAAAGGGAAAAAAAATGTATTCAGATGTCCTAGGTTGAGAAGACCTTTTGGTGTCTAGGGTTGATATTAACTTGGAGAGATTAGCTTCCAGCTGATTGTCATATGGCTTTATAACTAAGAAGGAAACATTCCAGCAGCAGCTGATAAATCCACTGATGGTCTGTTACTATCTTCTGGCTACATGCATTCCCCCCCCCATCTTTTTTTATTTCCAAAAATTTGTGCAGACTTTGGTTTGTGGTGCCCATGGTTAGTATATTTAAATTTGCCAAGTGTTATCTTCAGGAA